ATATATTCAGAGATTTTTTCTTCTATTTTTACAGAAAAGGTAATTCTCCCAAAGAAATAAGCAAGTTACAATCTCAGAGAAGGATAAGCAGGAAAGCAGGGAGCTGTCCAGAAAAGAAGTCAAACTAACCATCACGGGTGAAATCTCACAGGGGCAGTTGAAATTGGGAAAGAGATTATGTTCTTTTTCAAGAAAAATAGGGAAGTGATTGCCTATTTGAGAGCCTATCTGCCAAAACTGATGAAATCCTATTTTCTTTCTTTCCATTAAAAAAGAAAAAAAGAAAAAAAGGGGAGATATCTTTTGCCGCCCAGTTTAAAAACATTTTACTATAAATACAAGAAGGAGTGAACAGAGTGGAGGACACACAAAAATTCATCATCCAATCAAACGAAAATCCTACACAAGGAAACCCTCAGTCAAAAGGACAACTCAGAAACCAACCAAAAAGCCCATTTGAGTTTCAAGTGAAACCAGCTTCAGATCAGAATTTCCAAGACTCAGACTTAAGGAATAAGTCATTCAAAATGAGATTTCTCTCGTTACAAATTTGGTTCAGCAAAAAACCAAGACAGGTAGAGCTTGAGCTTTCCCCAAACATGGAAAACCTCAGCAAAATTCACAAGTGCAGTCTCTAGCCCCTAAAGCCATAAAAAACAGTCACTTCTGCCCGCGCAAACTGAGGAAACCGCAGTTCTGCCCACTCAAAAGCTTCATGAAAGCTTGAGGCACATTGAAGCTTTGCCAGAATCAACTTTTGGTATCGATTTATAATTGAAACCTAGCAGTCAAAATTGTCAACGGTCCAGTCCAGCCCAGGCATTTCTAGTCCAGCCCAGATCAGAACCTTCCATCTCGACAGAAATGGAGTTCCAGCTGTATCTTCATCTCTCTAGCATGAGTATTTATTGTTATAGTTTTGTAAAAGGCAGTTCCGCCTAAAAATAGTTTAAATTCCATCAACCATTCTGGCCAGAACAACCTCTTTATACTGAGATAAATTGTTAAAGTCCTCACCAGTCTGAGGCAAGAAAAGAACTTACTTGGGAGATATTCCTCACCCAAATTCACAATCGTTTGTTTGCAGAAATCAGTAACTTGGGGCGCAAGTTATCCATTCCAAACTAAGTCTGCTAGAATTTTTATTACTAGCAGTGGCACGCTCGCACACCAAAGAAAGCTGACTTGTTGACCAGTCTATGGTTCTCAAGGCAGTGGGGAACTTTGCCCTTCCATCACAGGAGTAAACGCAAAACGGGCAAACAATTTGGCACGCCCAGTGGGACTTCTCAGTATACATTGTTCTTTACCAGTCCATGAATACTGGAAGCTCTAGCCAGAACCCACACCACGACATGGAAATAAACCAAGTGGCCCTCAGGGAAGGACTGGAATCAGAAGAAAGTGATGTCCGGCATTCAGCACATGGCAGCACAGGAAGCAGGAGGTCCAGGACCGGCTCCAGAAGGATGAACCTGATACAAGAATCTGTGTTACGACAAGAGGTCACAACACAAAGGAGCCAAGATACCCTAAATAATATGACATCCATGATGCAATGGCAGGTCAACATGCGATTCAGGAAGGATCGGGAGCATGGCTATATCAAGAGAATCCTCTTGTTGCACAGGTAGCTGGAAGACCAGAATGGGGGGAAATCCAGGCTGGCACAGGGAATGAGTTTTTCCTATCCAAGAATGTCAGGCCCCAATACGGCCAGAAGGTCCTGCGTCAGGACAAGTTCCGCAGAATCAACCAGAGCCTCAACCTGTTCCACAACAAGCGGCCCCACAAGATCACCCTATGGAAATTATGCCCGAACAGCCAGCAGTATTACCCTACAGGCCCAGAAGGATGGACCCCAATCCATTCCCTCCACCTGCAAGAGGAAGGAGAGGCAGAGGGGGAAACTACCCCTATGCTAACAATGACAGGAACAGGCAGGGGGCAAACTGGAGGAACCACCCAGGTCTGGAAGAACCGGAGGAACACAGGGAAAAAGTTCTGCCTAGGCCATATAGGGCAAAACCCCGAATTGATTATGCCCAGCCAGAACAGAGACAAAATCTTCCCCCTGTTAATGCTTTAAATGACGTGGGGGCATTGAAAAGGATGATCAGGGAAATGATGGAGCCTGAGGCCAGGAGAGGAGAAAGACCCACCTACAGAAAGCCATATCCACCTTACATTGATAAGATACCCTTGTCCCCAGGTTTTAAAGTGCCAAACTTCACTTTATTCAACGGAGAGGATCCTCATGCTTCATCAGTCGAGCATGTAGGCAGATTTTCTATCCAATGCATAGCTATAGAGAATAACCCACTGTTAAAGCTAAGACCTTTTGGGAACTCTCTCTCTGGACAAGCTTTCACTTGGTACACTAATCTGCCAGCAAATTCCATTCAGACTTGGGAACAAATGGAGAGTGTCTTCCATGACTACTATTACAGGATTCAGCCAGAAGTCACCATCAGTGACCTTGCCGCCCTCAAACAGAGTGAAGATGAACCTGCCCAAGACTTTA